CTGACTTCCAAACATCACCTTTCTAGCAAGTAATGCATGGTTTTGTTGCTAATCATAAATAAGGAATGCAACATGAACAGGCTTTAAGTGGTACAGAAAAAGGGGAGTCAGCTGCCATGCTCCTATCTCCAACAACTTCTATCCCTCTACATGCTATGGACTCCTCTCGTCTTCCAAATCAAAGCCCCTTCACCATTTTCCTCACAGCCCCTCTACAGGCCTACATTCTCATGCTCGGTTTTAGTGGCTCTGATATTGAAATGGTACGAAACAAATGTACTGTACGCGTGATCTTGTTCGATATGTTGTTACTTTTGATGGGCAATTATATAAAGCAACAAGTTGTTTCAGGATTTGTTCAACAAGGCTGAGAAATTGCTTTCATCATCATTAAATCAGTGGGGACAGTTATTGGCAGAGTCAGACAATCTTAACCCTGTATGGGCTCAAATTTTGGGTGATCCCTTTCTGAGGCGACTCCTTTTAAGGTACATTGCTGTTCATTCCCTTAACTATTTTTGAAGAGTTAATTTTAAGAGGGGTAGTGCAGTGGAAACGGGAAATTACACCTAAGTTTATGCCCTCGATCAATTTGAATGTGGAGAGGAATGAAATTCATAAGTACCTTGATTCAAGTTTAGATTTAGAGTATGATTTCAGGTCCTAATTTTGCTTCAAAGAATCTAGATAATATCTGGGTAAACAAAATGCTTGTTAAAAAGGAATTGGTGGGGTGAGTTGTGGATAAGGTGATGGATGAGATTGAGCGATTAAAACTGATGCATTCTCTTGGCATTGGGTGTGCCCTCAAGGTGGAAACTCGGGTACTGCTCCCTTAGCATGTTCATAGCGCTGCACATACCTGTGCAAATACAAAAATTTTTAAGACAGTCTCTTTGAGCATCTCCAACCATCAACGGCATCAAGGCAACCCCTTTTTTTCTTCTCCAATAAGTGTTGCATATTTTAGCAAGCTTGCCAAAAAATGCGTTTGGCTTTCTAGATATAACAAGCTCTCCAATTTATAGCAAACCAAGGGTTGTAGCATGGATTAGCAAGCCATGGTTGGAGAATGGAACAAAGAGTTGCTTGCTATATCACTTTTCACTTGCTAAAATATAAAAATAGCAAGCCGATATAGCAAGCATGGTTGGGGATGCTCTTATACGTCTGAAGGATGCCAGTGTCCAGCTGAAGGAGATTTATGAAATTCTGACAACAATTGGTCGCAAATTTTCTCCTCTACTTGTACCACAACCTTCCCATCATGCAGAATACGTCCTGTCACCTGATATTCTCCATCGTTTCTAGCCTTTGTACTGTCCGTGTTCACGATTTTTGAGAGGTTTGTATCCTTGGATGTAGTTTGCGCTAAATCCTTCCATATTGTCCACACCGGTTGTGTAATGCCCACACCTCAGCTTGAGTCAAAATTGCCTCTTGGTTGATTCCTTCTTGCCATGACAAAGCATCAGCACGGCGGTTGGTTTTCCCAGGTTTGTACACAATTTCATATCCCAACCCAAGCAGCTTACTTATCCAATTGAAACTTGAATGCCCCGACTGTTCTCCCACAACTCAATTCGCTCTCTGTGGGTTGCCATTGAAACGGATCTGATGTTGATCTTGCCTGCTCCCATACCAATTGATGAGTTCTCTTGGTATTGGGCATGTGCTCAGTGCTCGAGCACATTTTAAAGCTGAAAGCTAAACTGTTCTTATTGAAGATCACATCTAATAACAAAAGGGTGTTTATAGAGTTTTTCTTTGCCCTTATAGCTCTCATTCTAGTCTAACTATGATACTCATTTAATACTACTATTATAAATAGAAAGCACCTATCCTAGATTCCTAGTTAGGAAAACTGCCTATCCTACTCCAAGTAGGATATCCCTAATCTTCACGGACCTTGGGATTCTTGTGTCTGCTATAGACCAAGAACCCATCAGAAACAATAAAACTGTGGGTGGTAAGTGGGGAGGGGGATTAAGTGTTACAAAATGAAGTCTGTAGGATTAGATGAGACAAACCCAATATTCAGATGGGATCTTATGGAAGCAACCTTCATATTAATTTTCTTATAGATAGATTACCACTTGATGCTCTCATTGGGCATTATGTGAGCCTGAATAAGTGAAGATATGCTAAGCTCCATAATGAAGTGGTTGAAAAATGTAAAAATTCTAAATTAGACCATATAATTGACTCTTACTTTTCCTTGACCTGTTTGAATATTAATATCATTATTGTACCCAGAATCAAATATACAATTCTTACTTATGACGGGTACTTGAGTGTCATACGGAGTATTCAACTTTCATCTTGAGGGCATATGAGTCCATTTCGTACTTCCATCCTGGAAAAGTCTCCGTTCTGCATTGTTTGGGAAATTGGTCTTTTCATCGAGTGTTTTACCTCTATATTTTAACTTCGCCTCATGTTTTATCCTATTTGAATATGTATCCTAGAGCATCCCATAGCGGATTTTTTTTATTATTAAACATTGCATCTCATTTGTTAAACTTTACACCACATGAGTTACTTTAATATTTAACTTTGTGCCCCAAATTGAATACAAAATCATAACATCGGGTGCGAAGACCAAAATTTATATCTTTTAGTACCACAAGACCTTTTTAGGACAATAGTACCCCCCTTCATCCCGAAACAATCTCTACGGTTACTATCTATTGGGTCAAGCTATATCTTTTATTGCATTTTTCATTGATCATTTGTTAACATAACACGGTCAAGTCACCACCTCTTGTTTCTGTAGAACTTTTAATGCAATTTTTTAAACTATAAGTTTTATTTTTTAAATTTTACACCATTATTGAAATAAAATAAAATTAAAATACTTCATCAGAAACTGCAACGTCGAGTTCTTTTTGGGATGGACCCAACTCAGAGCAAGAAATGTGACTCTTTTCTTCTTCTCTTATTGCAAATGACAGATTTATATTCTGCCGGGCAGCGCTGTCTTTATACGCTTCTAGTTTCAACAAGACGGAGTTTGTCCCGGAATGCAACCCTGTCCTCCCAGAGAGTGTCAGTCCCTTAAGTGCCACGTGTCAATCAGCAATTTGGCAACTGGCGGAGATCTTTGGCGCAACCAACAAGTTTGTCTTCTCAGAGGGCATGAAACTTCCTTAGTTTCTCAACTTCAAGAATCTGAATCTGTTGGAGCTAGGAACAACCACTGCCTGATATGGTCGAGAGAATCCTTCACATTTTAAGCCCTCATTTGTTTGCTTAGAAGAAACCTTCTCCAGCTCTGAAATGGTATCCTATTTCAAATATTGATTCAGAATCTCTGTCCTTTTTTTTAGATTTTTGATGATTTTAATGAATCTTAATGTTCTTAGTTCTTTGATGTGGTTTGCGGGTATGCTTTGCCCAGGGGCTCTGGCTGTTGCCACTCTGACTCCTGTCTTCTTATTCTCTCTTCTTCATTTTTGTTTGTTTTACACCTCTCCCGAATTAAGTTACATGTAATGTTCTTTATCTATTTTCTTTCCTGGCGCCCTAACCCCTAACGTCTGGCTCGTGTCGCTGCGTCGGACGCTCCCTGCCCAGTTGCAATGCAATCTGCCGCTCGCCCCGCCTCTTCCAGCTGTGCAACGGGACCCCCCCCGTTGTAAATACTCTTAGGGATGTTTTCTTTACTTTATTGTTGCTTTCCGTTCTCTTGAAAAGTAGAAGAAACACATACAAATGTACTTTTTTTAGTTCTTCAATCACGTGGAATTTTTTTTTTTTTTTGAGAGAGGGAGGGAGGGAGGGATAAGAGGTGACGACCATTAGACACGGTCGTAGTTTTTTGGAGAGAGAGTGTCACACATAAGAAATTAAATCACTCAAAATAGAAGTAAAACATAGTTCTTATCTTCAAAAAAAAGTGATATTTTTATCTCAAAATAAAAATTTGTACTGTGACAGCGTGACACTGTATACTGATCTTATACAATATTTTTTTGGTATCATACGTTGATATTATTGGCATGGTAGTTTCTACTTAAAAATAAAAACATGGAATTCTTATTTTAGTATTTTGTATTTTACTTTTGGCTTAGTTTTTTTGCCTTTTTAAAATTTTTTATGTTAAAATAGGGCATATAATTCTAATCACAAAATAATGACAAAAAACAGTGGAATGCTCATAGACAATACAAATTATAGCAATGCATTATTCCAATGCTCCTATTTGAAGAAAAAATACCTACTGCTTTTCTCCTTACCATTTCTCTCTTCTATTCTTATCCTCTCTCTAATCGATCAATTTTCTCCCATCTTCCCTTACGGGCAGATTCCCAAACTGCCAATGGAAGGAACCACCACTGATTTCGGTTTGAGAACTGGTGGTTCCAATTCTAGAATCTGTTGGTCATGTGTGCATCAATTATCCCATGGCGGAGGCTTAGTGAGCCAAGTCACAATCGAATTCGTAGGCGCTTGTGTTTGCTGAATGAACTATAAGGCTAGGATATACGTATACGCTTTTTCTAACACCAATTGATTTTAGAAGTGTTGGTAGTGCTTGAAGTCCTACAAGTGGTATCGGAGCCAAACTCATGAGATCGATTCTCAGCAGGAGCAGTTGCTGAGAGGGTGATCATTGGCCATGTGTGCACCAATTATCCCGTGGCGGAGGCTTAGTGAGCCAAGTCACAATCGAATTTGTAGGCGCTTGTGTTTGCTGAATGAACTATAAGGCTAGGATATACGTATACGCTTCTTCTAAAACCAATTGATTTTAAAAGAGTTGGTAGTGTCTGAAGTCCTACAAGTGGTATCGGAGCCAGACTCACGAGTTCGATTCCCAACGAGAGCAGTTGCTGAGGGGGGTGATCATTGGTCATGTGTGCACCAATCATCTCGTGGCGGAAGCTTTGTGAGCCAAGTCACAATCGAAAGTCGTGGGAGCTTGTTTTTACTGAATGCACTATAAGATTAGGATATGCGCTTCTTCTAAGATCAATTGGTTTTAAAAGATCCTTACCCAACAAATAAAGCATTTATTCAAGAAATAAAAAAGACATTTATTTAGCAAGCAAATACACCATCACACCCAAATAGAGACGATAATTATGCCGCGGTGGTATTGAGGTTGAAGAAAGCGGAGAGGGCGGCGGCAGAGTCGATGCACCAGCCGTGCTCGACGTGGGGGTTGGGGAAGCGGGCGCAGAAGTTGCCGCTTCCCTTCTTGAGGCACTCACCGTCGGACAGGCACAGGTTGGGGTGGGCCTCCATCTTCTTCGCCACCTCCGGGAGGCCCAACGAAGTGGGGTGGATGCACTGGCCGGCTACCAGCCCCCAGGGGACGCACCGGCAGCCGCTCCCGTCGCCGCACGGCGGCATCTCGAACGGCGAACACACGTTGTGCCCGTTGCACTCCGCCGCACCCATCCCGAACATCACTGCATGGAATAATGGTATATATGTACATAGTGATCGACAATTCGACATATTAATTAATTGTGAATTACAAGTTCTAATTATTACGAGTAATTAATCTTGTAAATGAAACAAAGTAAAATTGAAAACAAAAAAAAGAATGAAATTAAATAGGGTTCTTACGGGAAGAAGAAACGAGGAAGAGGAGAGCAAGCTGCATAATGGAAGCCATTGTTACGTTGTTTGTTTGTTGTTATATATCACGAGTTTTCTTAGTTAATTGAGATGTGTTTCATTCATTTAATTTCATCTATATGAATGTACCTATATTTATATATAGGACTCATGCACTTTTAATGACTTGAAAGGTTGTTTGGTTGGTGCAAATGAGTAATGAATGATACTCCCTCCGTCCACCTAATATCTTCCCATTGCGCGTTACGAGGCTTGACTGACTTTATTTTCAATTCAATTTATTTGAATGTTGGGGTAAAATTTTAATATAAAGTCTATGTAGTAATAAACTACATGAAAAGTTCTACAAAACTAGAGGTGACAACACTATATTATTTTATGAAATGAGTAGTAAAAATAAACAAACAAAGTAAATTAAGTTTGACCTTGTGAATAGTGTCTGGGAATATCTATGGTGGACAGAGGGAATATTTAAATTCTATTTTTTTACTATCTCTATACATTGTTCATGTGAGGGAGTGAAAAGTGTACTTTGGAGTGTCAATATAAAATATTAGAGTACGTGCACACTCCATTTCCTATATATATTCGATAGGATAATATTATTTTTTTTTTTTTTGAAAATTACTCTTGAGTGCTCTTGATTTTTTAAATAAGAATTCACAAATATCATACTCTGGGTATTATTCAAAATATATATTTCAGAGTGCTTAACATTAATGGTAATATACTTCGATAGTACATTCTGTCCATTTTCCGTTAAAATTGGATGTTCTGTTATTTGGACAAACCAAAAACTAAAAAAACAATAACCAGTGGACATTGAATAGTGGTACTACTATGCATTGAAAAATAAAAACATATAGTACCATTGGAAAAGTCACCATGTTTTAGTACTATTTAAGTAAATTTCCTTATTTTAAATCATTAAAAAATAATTTAAAATTTATATTTAAAAAATGTAAATATTTATGAATTTTTAAAACTTTAAACTATATATAAATTAAACCAATTATAAATTTTTAAATATTTGGAAATTTAAAATGTGTATATTAAAATTAAAGATTAAAATATTACGGAGTACAAAACATGCATAATAAAACTAAAAATTAAAATTAATAATATGTTTTGAAAAAGAAGTTCTGTATGTATTTTAAACAAAGATTTAATAAAATAATTTAATTTTATAAATAAATGTATTAAAAAGTTATAAAAACATTAAGTTTTAAAAAATATGATGTTAAAATAATATTTCTAAAGTAATAAAATAATTTTTTTTTTCAAAATTATTTTTTGTGATAGAATATATACGGAGTAAAAGGTAATGTTATTTTTATAACTAAAATTAAAAAAAGGAAGAAGGTAATGATTTTTTTTTATAACTAAGATAGAAAAAAAAAGGAAGAAGAATAAGATGGAGAAAAAAACATATCCTAGGGGTGGGCGCGGTCCGTGATGGTCCGTGATACTACCGGAATCGGCATGAGCGTCGGTGGAGGTGGCGTCCTCGGCAATGTCTAGCGCGATCTCATCCGCCTCTTGGCCGGCGGACTGGGCGACGGCGTTGGCCGAAGCATCTACCGAGTTCTCCCTCCACCACCACCCTCAGAAGCGGCGGAACAGCCCCATCACAAGGTTTGTGCATATATTTATGGTCAGTCCCACAAGTATTGATTCAAGCATTTGAGTTAGGTCACCTAGCATTTTGATTTGAAGGGTGTGAAGGGTCAGGGAAGGGTGGGATGGGGTTTCAGTGAAGGAGGGTTAGTTATATATGAGAAAGGGTTGTTACCAATGTGAACCCAATCCCTCTAATGGCATATTTGAAAAAATTAGGGGTGGGCGCTGTTCGTGATGGTCCGTGATACTACCGGAACCTATCACGGACCGATATTATTTAAACGGTTCGGTATCGGTATGGGATGAACTCCAATACCATTCGGTACCATTTCGTTTTGAAACGGAACGGTACAATACCATACTCATGCTCAAACCGTACCAAAAAAATGAACGTACAATACTTAAATAATATTGAATTTAATGTATAAATTTGTATAAAAAAGCAAAAGAATGTTAAATAAAAGTATTGATTTCAAATTTAAACGGATCATAAACATAAAGAATAAAAGATAGCGAGTCCAAAGTTAAAAAATAATATCGGAATACTAATAACTATAAAAAAAAAATAATGCCAATAGTAAGGATAAGTATAATAACAACAATAATAAAGAGAGAGTTTAAAAATTAATAATAAAATACGAAGTAATCTATACACGGTAAGATGAAGTAGACAAATACTCCATAATTATTTGAGATACGTACTCCGTATATAGCGTTGGACGGTTCGGTCCGTGATAATCGGTTTTAAATATTTGTATCACGGTCACGTCCCATTTGGTATCGGTTCGGTTTCGGTTCATGATAAAAAAATCAATCCCGTTTCAAAACACTATAAACGGTTCGATACCATTACGGTCCGGTATGGTATCATGCTAGTTCGGTTTTTTGCCCACCCCTAGAAAAAATCTACTTTTAGTATGAAAATGTGGTTAAATTATCCTGTATAAGTTCCTAATTAAGGTTTGTTGTAATCTTTTTATATTAGGTTGTTGAAGCAGTACAATGACTACTATCAATTAAGATGACAAATGCTCGTGGAGAAATTAAGCATCCCATCAAGGTTCGAGGTGGCGGCGTCTGCGGCCTCGGCATGAGCGTCGGTGGAGATGGCGTCGTCGGCAATGTCTAGCGCGATCTCATCCGCCTCTTGGCCGGCGGATTGGGCGACGGCGTTGGCGGCAGCATCTACCGAGTTCTCCCTCCACCACCACCCTCGGAAGTGGCGGAATAGCCCCATCACAAGGTTTGTGCCTATATTTATGGTCAGTCCCACAAGTATTGATTCAAGCATTTGAGTTAGGTCACATGCATTTTGATCTGAAGGGTGTGAAGGGTCAGGGAAGGGTGGGATGGGGTTTCAGCGAAGAAGGATTGTTATATATGAGAAAGGGTTACGTTGTTACCAATGTGAACCCAATCCCTCTAATGGCATATTTGAAAAAATTAGGGGTGGGCGCGGTCCGTGATGGTCCGTGATACTACCAGAACCTATCACGGATCGCTATTATTTAAACGGTTTGGTATCGGTACGGGATGAACTGCAATACCATTCGGTACCATTCCGTTTTGAAACGGAACGGTACAATACCATACTCATGCTCAAACCGTGCCAAAAAAATGAACGTACATTACTTAAATAATAAGTATTGAATTTAATGTATAAATTTGTATAAAAAAGCACAAGAATGTTAAATAAAAGTATTGATTTCAAATTTAAACGGATCATAAACATAAAGAATAAAAGATAGCGAGTTCAAAGTTAAAAAATAATATCAGAATACTGATAACTATAAAAAAATAATGCCAATAGTAATGATAAATATAATAACAACAATAATAATGAGAGAGTTTAAAATGAATAATAAATTACGAAGTACTCTATACACGATAAGATGAAGTAGACAAATACTCCACAATTATTTGAGATACGTACTCCGTATATAGCGTTGGACAGTTCGGTCCGTGATAATCGGTTTTAAATATTTGTATCACGGTCCCGTCCCATTTGGTATCGGTTCAGTTTCGGTTCGTGATGAAAAAAATCAATCTCGTTTGAAAACACTATAAACGGTTCGGTACCATTACGGTCCGGTATGGTACCATGCTAGTTCGGTTTTTTTGCCCACCCCTAGAAAAAATCTACTTTTAGTATGAAAATGTGGTTAAATTATGCTGTATAAGTTCCTAATTAAGGTTTGTTGTAATCTTTTTATATTAGCTTGTTGAAGCAGTACAATGACTACTATCAATTAAGATCAAAATGCTCGTGGAGAAATTAAGCATCCTATCAAGGTTCGAGGTGGCGGCATCTGAGCATCGGTGGAGGTGGCGTCGTCGGCAATGTCTAGCGCGATCTCATCCTCCTCTTGGCCGGCGGACTGGGCGACGGCGTTGGCGGCAGCTTCTACCGAGTTCTCCCTCCACCACCACCCTCGGAAGCGGCGAAACAGCCCCATCACAAGGTTTGTGCCTATATTTATGGTCAGTCCCACAAGTATTGATTCAAGCATTTGAGTTAATCCACATGGCATTTTGATCTGAAGGGTGTGAAGGGTCAGGGAAGGGTGGGATGAGGTTTCAGTGAAGGGGGGTTGTTATATATGAGAAAAGGGTGTTTACCAATGTGAACTCAATCCCTCTAATGGCATATTTGAAAAAATTAGGGGTGGGCGCAGTCCGTGATGGTCCGTGATACTACCGGAACCTATCACGGACCGCTATTGTTTAAACGGTTCGGTATCGGTACGGAATGAACTCCAATACCATTCGGTATCATTCCGTTTTGAAACGGAACGATACAATACCATACCCATGCTCAAACCGTTCCAAAAAAATGAAAGTACATTACTTAAATACGGAGTAATATTGAATTTAATGTATAAAGTTGTATAAAAAAGCACAAGAATGTTAAATAAAAGTATTGATTTCAAATTTAAACGGATCATAAACATAAAGAATAAAAGATAGCGAGTCCAAAGTTAAAAAATAATATCAGAATACTAATAACTATAAAAAAATAATGCCAATAGTAATGATAAATATAATAACAACAATAATAAAGAGAGAGTTTAAAAATGAATAATAAAATACGAAGTACTCTATACACGGTAAGATGAAGTAGACAAATACTCCAGAATTATTTGAGATACGTACTCCGTATATAGCGTTGGACGGTTCGGTCCGTGATAATCGGTTTTAAATATTTGTATCACGGTCCCGTCCCATTTGGTATCGGTTCAGTTTCGGTTCGTGATGAAAAAAATCAATCCCGTTTGAAAACACTATAAACGGTTCGGTACCATTACGGTCCGGTATGGAACCATGCTAGTTCGGTTTTTTTGCCCACCCTTAGAAAAAATCTACTTTTAGTATGAAAATGTGGTTAAATTATGCTGTATAAGTTCCTAATTAAGGTTTGTTGTATCTTTTTATATTAGGTTGTTGAAGCAGTACAATTACTACTATCAATTAAGATGACAAATGCTCGTGGAGAAATTAAGCATCCCATCAAGGTTCGAGGTGACGGTGTCTGCGGCCTCGGCATGAGCGTCGGTGGAGATGGCGTCGTCGGCAATGTTTAGCGCGATCTCATCCGCCTCTTGGCCGGCGGACTGGGCGACGGCGTTGGCGGCAGCATCTCCCGAGTTCTCCCTCCATTACCACCCTCGGAAGCGGCGGAACAGCCCCATCACAAGGTTTGTGCCTATATTTATGGTCAGTCCCACAAGTATTGATTCAAGCATTTGAGTTAGGTTACCTGACATTTTGATCTTAAGGGTGTGAAAGGTCAGGGAAGGGTGGGATGGGGTTTCAGTTAAGGGGGGTTGTTATATATGAGAAAGGGTTACCAATGTGAACCCAATCCCTCTAATGGCATATTTGAAAAAAATTCAAAAAATCTACTTTTAGTATGAAAATGTGGTTAAATTATGCTGTATAAGTTCCTTATTAAGGTTTGTTGTTATCTTTTTATATTAGGTTGTTGAAGCAGTACAATGACTACCATCAAGGTTAGTTCTATTTGATGCCCATGTCTTTGCTTCATAGAGGTTTTCTAACACACCCCAATTTGTAATCTTGCAGTTGACACTCAATTAGAAATTTCCATTCAAACTTTTAGATGCCCATCTTTTAAACTATAAACTTAAGCATCTTGTTTTCACGGGGTATGAATATACTTAAAGCTAGAGGTGGCAATCGGATCAACCGGATCGGTTTCGGGTTGGATTTTTTCGGTTCGGATATCTTTCGGTTATGTGTTATAATCGGTTTGATTCGGTTCGGATCAGTTAAATTTCGGTTCGGATTTGATTTCGGTTCTATACATTTTTCAGTTCGGTTCGGTTTCGAGTCGGTTCAGATACGGTTCGGTTATAAATCGGTTCGGATAGATTTCGGTTCGGATACAATTTGAGTCGGATATATTTCGGTTTCGGGTCTAGTTCGGTTCGGATATATTTCAGTTTCGGATCAAATATATTTTGGATATATACTATTTTCTAATTTTCCCCTTTTGACTTTTTAGTCATATTTTACAAAGTTGGACTACAAATTATGAAAACATATATATATTTAATTATGATATAAATTTAATATAATTAAATTGATTTTAAAATTTAGTTTTGAAATATAAAAATTTTCTCACATCTACTAATATACTTATGTATATAAATGAAAGGATAAAAGATAAATTCAAATAGTCTTATGTTCCATTTGAATAGAATTTGGTAAAAATTGAGTAAAATTGGGTGAAATTAAGTGAATTTTATTCAATTGAGTGCAAAATTTGTAAATTGTTGAGTATATTTAGTTGAAAATAGAGAAAATTATATTTAAAATGTTAACACTAACATTTAATTTTATTGACTAATATTGAGTGAATTGGTTTGAAACTAATCAAATTAACTCTCAAACCAATAAAATTTATTGTAATGAGATGAAATTAGGATAAAATCTAATTATTCCATACAATTCATCATATATATATATTCCTTTCGTCCCAAAAAGAATATCATACTTCACTATTTAAAAATTACTGAAATTTTATTTGTTTGTGCGTTATCATTTATATGTATAACTTATCTTTAATTTTTAGATATAATAAATTTAAGGCATAAAAATTTGTACTTTTTTTCAAGAAGATAATCCATTTTATGAAGGAATGAGCAAGTAATGTAACTAGTTCAAATGGTAAAATAAAAGTAAAAATTTAAAAATATAATATGCTTATTGAAAGGTAAACATAGTTCTGAATTTATCGATTTTAGTTCTAATCGAGTTCGGATATTATCGGTTTCAGATCTAATCGGTTTTGGATTTTATCGGTTTCGGGTATTATCGGGTCCGGATCTAATCGGTTTCGGGTTTAATCGGTTCGGATATTATCGGTTTCGGATCTAATCGGTTTCGGATTTAAATCGGATATGAATTATTTAGTTCGGTTTCGGTTCGGTTAGGATCATTTCGGGTTTTCTGTTATAGATCGGATCTTCATTTTTCGGATTATTCCGGTTTCGGTTTCGGATATTTCGGTTCGGGTAATCGGTTCCGGTTCTGTTTTGCCCGGTCTACTTAAAGCCCATGAAAAAAGTGCAAGAGATAGCTATTGTTTGAAAGGGTATGCTTTGAACACTGGAAGGGTCGCTACTAGTTTCTCCCGCAAGTATTGCCTGCCTTGACTTCAGTCTTCAAAAGACAAAAATGCAGTTGGGGGTTCAAGTCTTAGTTACAGACCCTAGGGAGCTTGAGAAGATTCGTCAAAGGTGATCCATTTTATTACTTGTTTGAGGTTAAACTGATAGTACTAATTCTATTTAGTATTGCATATGTATTTCCCTATAGCCAAACATTTTTATCCACGTAATAAGTATGCTATGCTGATGATTCTATAGATTTTTTGCTTCTGGCTTGAACACCTTATGGTCAAATAACTTTGTCGAGTTTGGGGTTCTAAAGCACAGTTTTGGCTGTTCGTCACTGTTTGTTTTATCATCTTCATTGAGTTCTCTATAATACAGCGCTAAGTCAGCATTAATGTTATATAGACGATACTGTCTAGAGTTCTAGGCATTGAAATATTTCCTAGCTATTATCGGTCCATACATAGTCAATGGACTATGGACATCTCTAGAAATTGACCATGGATTTGTTGATCCATTTGGTCCAGACCAGTTCATTAGATGCTGTTGCTCTATAACTGTAAGTATCAGACACTCATGCTACATGTCATACCCTGCATAAATTAGTAAATTTCTTTGTTACCGAGAAGCTTGTTGGAAAAATTAACGATAACTTGGATGAATCGAGAGTTGTGTAAACACTTTCAGATTGAATATTTTGGTTGTTCACTCCAAAATTCATTCGGATAAAACTCGAAAGTATCAAGAATGAAATATGAGAATTGCTATGAAAAAATCCGAACGAAATTCGACCATGCCTAGCGGGAATTTATAGACTTGGGGTGAGAAGGAGAAGACATCATTCGCGGCCATTCACCCAAGGCTCGCAACTCTTTGGCGGAAAAACTCCTTTGAAAACAATGCTATCCTTAGGAATTTTCTTTTAAAGAAAATTCGACCCCAGCCAGGGGCTCTTCCCCTTGGAGCCCGCAGGGGCTGCCGCCCCTTGAACCCGCGCCAAGGGGGCGCTGCCCCCTTGGAACCCTCGGTGTAACGGGATGTTTTATCGTAACAAACTCAATGAAGCGTGCACTCCGCACCACCAAACTTCTTTATTTGATGATTATTAGGATACCATTGGTCGTAGTTTTTCCAATTAAACTAAAATATATAACAAAGTTGATATGACCAAAGAACGCATTGAGAAGCTTCTTAAAGCTGGAGCAAATGTTGTATTGACCTCTAGAGGAATTGACGACATGGGATTGAAGGCAAGGTGCTTCATTCATCAATTGCTTTAATTATTTAATACTTTGAATGCCTTCATGGGGCTTTTTATGTACAGCTGCATTTCTCCTTATTAAATTCCAAGTGTATTCCCAAAATCCTAATTTTCCACATCAAGTGTCTTCATCTTAATCCCAACTATGTTGGGGCTGGGTCCATGAAACATATGGTCTCAATCAAGTGTATGAGTTTAGTTAACTATGCAGCTTCGCAAGTCGACCCGCACTAAACATACCCGATATGAGTTTAGTGTAACATATAAATAGAACTTATATCGACCCGCACTAATCCTCCTTGCAGTTTTTATGTCTAGTGTTTATTTAATGCAATTATATTGGACCGAATTGTTACTGTACTTGGCTTTGTTTGTTTGTTGAATCCTAATACAACTCTAATTTCCATTAACTGGTTAAATCTTTTTTTTTTCCTCCTGAAAAGAAAACTCAGTTAGATAAACAAAGTTGAGTGGAAAGCAGCCCAAAGTGAACTTGATTTTAAGAATGAGAAATAACTTCAAGTACTTTTATATTTCCATACTGAAAAGCAGTTTTGGGCAAATTGCAAGATAAAAAAAAAAAAAGTCCTATGTTTGTCTAAATGGTACCAATGTTTCTCCAACCCCTAAACATTATCTCATGGACTATAGGCATGTTTTCCTAATTTGGGGTATTAAGAAGGAGTATCCACAGCATGACAGATATTTTGGGGAATTAGGATACAACCGTTGAGACCCTTTTAGATGGGAATAAAATGGGTGTTCAACGGGGACACGGAAGGAGACAGTAACACAAAGGGTTCGATCAGACAAAAATTGAATGGATTCATTTTTGAAATCCTGAATGTGGTATAGTAAGTTGTGACAAATCGGGCCAACAGATAGTTTGGGTAGACTTTTATTAAAACAATTGGTCAAAAATTCAAAAGGTTTTGTGTTGGTAGAAGAAATCATAAGTGAAAGTTGAAAGAATGCAACAGTTTAACACTTTTTTTTCACTTCTATTAGGCTTAACTACTCTCAGTGTGTGTCAGTTTGATCACACACACCAAGAGGAAATATGCCTCTTAATCAATTCAAAGCTGTTTGGCTGCTCTCTTAGTTCCCTTTTACATGTTTTTTACTTCTTTAATCCGTACCTCCTACTCATAATGATTTCCCAATTGGAGTTCCTTTGTTTTATGCCTTGTCCTTTGTTGTGGTACCAACAACAACAAAACCAGTATAATCCCAACTACATTAGGGTTTGGTACCAACGTTATTGTGGTACCAGTGTGATTAATATGTTAATCTCATTTTTAGGTACTTGATGCACTTACCATTCAAAGATGTGGATCTTGGTATGCCAGTTTGGGGAGTATTTCAGAAATATACAAGAGTCTAACGGAAGCAACCTCTCTAACAGGGTAAGATTGCGTACATCTTGACCCCCCTTCCACCATAGACCCCAAATAAGTTGGGATTATACTGGGTGTTTTGTTATTGTTGTAGTAGTGTTAGAAGGTGCTGACTTTAACTATAATGTATTCTAATTGTTTTGGTTCATCTTTTGGCAGTACAGTGGGGAAAAAATAAATTTGCACCCTCAAAAGGTACATAAAAGATAAAATGCACCCTCACAACTGTTAAATGTTTTATTGCACCCTTAAAAAATTACTCTCTCATTTCACCTCTGGAGGCCATTTCCATACTTTCCTCCGGAAGAAACAAAGGGTAAAAATGTAAAATTGTCTTGCCGCCGCCGTTTGTTTCTCTTGTGTCGAGTAATTTGGCAAGCTAGTGTTCTTCGTTGTTTGTTTTTTAGCTTCATCGTGTGTTCTACTACTTTGCTCTCTGCCAATTAGGCGTTTTTTTTTGGTAATTTGGGTTTGTTGTTCATTTGTTCGGTTTCAATCCCTCCGTTAAATTTTTAATGCTTCGTGAAAGCAATTCACACACCCCAAAACCAGATTTCTCCAAATGAAATATCCATCTTCTTCTTCTCCATTTGTAATTATCGCTATGTCCAGAGGCATTCCATTAATCAGGTGCATTGAAGAAAACTCAAATGGAGCACATTTTTTTATCTAATTGAGAATTGTTTCTTCTTCTTCTACGGACAACTTTGAAGGTGTGAAATTAGGTGCTCAAACCCTTCAATTTTATTTTAAGAGTAAGCGGACGACTTTACGCTTTGTTTTTTCAAAAGAAAAGAATAAAATTGAGGTCAAGAATTAAAACGAGAGAAAGAAAACTTTTTGAGGGTGCATTATAACATTTCACGACTCTGAGGGTGTATTTTAACTTTTATGCACCTTTTGAGGGTGCAAAATGATTTTTACCTAGTACAGTGCTATTGTGGTTTTGTGAAAGAAATATTTGCACTAAATAGCACTAAAACTTGAGTCATTTCTCTAAATAGCACTTAAATTGTTTTTTCTTGAATAGCACTTAATAATGTCTATAATGTCTAGTGATGGTGACTATTCATTTGAATAATGACGAATTCATAATGACTAAAAGTGCTATATTGGGAAGAAAAATACATGTGGTGCTATTTAGGGAAAATCATTACTCCCTCCGTCCCAGAAAGAATGTCACGTTTACTATTCTGGCCTCTCGATAACTTTTGTTTGTTTACTCGTTTTGGTTGACCATTTGATAAAATAAAATATTCTTGTCGCATCTTGTTTTGTAGAGCTTTTCATATACTTTTAAATGGTGTAATTTTTACTTTTTATTACTCTACCAATTTGAAATTAAAGTAATTTTAAAAGAGATGATATTTTGCACGTCGTTCGAAGTGTTGCAAATAAATTGGGACGGAGGGAGTATGTTTTAGTGTTATTTAAGTAAATTCCCCTTTGTGAAATTGAGTCGCGAAAAAAATTTACATACTCGAAATGAATTTGGTATCATCTTATCTAGGAGTACCTATGAAATTCAAGAGAAGACATTTCCTAAAAGCCTTACGTGTTGCTATGACTATCAACAAAAGTTAAAGTCAAATATTGTCATTTGTTAGATTATTTTTAACCAAGTTGGTGTGACCTCTTAATCAACTTTAAGTTGTTATGTTTCATGAGTGAAAACAAATAAAATATTAAAAATATTAGTTCTAAATGACAATGAAAACTCTTGCAACCATAACGAAAATTGTATATACTCTAAAGTCTTATAGAAAATTTGGTATTAAAACAAATTTTGTTGAGTACACATTCAATTTCTCTAAAAAATTTATTTTATTTTGGCGTTTTTTTCTATGACATTGAAAATCATGTGAGAATTATATTCTCTTTATTCTGAAAAAATATTGCATCGAAAAAGATTCAAATCGACTAAAATTTCGTTCACCCCGTGCGTGGCACGGGTAAAAATACTAGTTTGACCAAAAATATCAATTTTTTTTAGAACGGAGGTAGTATGAAAATTTAATGTAGACGATCATTTGAATTCACATTGGTCATTTAGTCATTTACATTACACTAAATCTCAATATAGTAATAGGACCACTTACGTTAATTATTGTATTAGGAAATGGCCTTTGTTTCTAAATGTGGTTGGAACTAGGGATGACAACGGGTCGGGTTCGGGTCGGATAGTACTATACCCGAACTCGACCTGACTTTTAAAACCAAAACCCAAACCCGACCCGAAACCCGACCTTTTAAGCTAAAAACCCGACCCGACCCGAACCCGACATTTCAACCCGAAACCCGAACCCGACTTTTAACAAATAATCAATTCGACGTATCCCAATAATTTTGAAATGATTAAATCTAATTTTTTCATGTCTCTTTTTTATGTCTCATTTTTTATTAAGGAATTATAAAAATGATTATAAAAAGCATACTTAATATAGTAGCACTTTGTCAAGAAATTATACGGAGTGCTTATTATATTCATAGATAGGTTTTTATGTAATAAAATATTCGGGTTTTAGTCGGGTCGGGTGCGGGTTCGGGTCGGGTCGGATAAAATTATAAATCCACACCCGACCCGACCCGATGTCGGGTTCGGGTAAAAAATTTCGGGTCGGGTTCGGATTATTTTATTCTCGGTTCGGGTTCGGATATTTTAGTGGTCGGTCGGGTCGGTTAAGCTCGGGTTTGAGTTAAATTGCCATCCCTAGTTGGAACATGTTGGTGAGCTTTCCCCACATGGGAGATGCTAGGGGTACACCAAAAGGTGTACCCCATTTGTACACCACCACCTCCATAACTACTCATTTATTTTTTATCTTTATTTACTTAATTTTTTTTAAATTTCTTGCCTATTTAAGTGGTAATGGAGGGGGTGGGGGACAAATGAGGTACACCTTTGGTGTACCCCTAGCATTTTTCTTCCCCACATAAGATGTCGTAACCAACTCATAGTTGTTACATTTATGTGATAAAATAAAATTAGAAAATTAAGAAAACTTGTTCAAATGATTTTAATAAGAGTAATGCTAGAGTCAGAAATAAATGACAATGAAAATACTTGCACGAGTATATATTGTCAAAGTTGGTACTATTCTTTTATATCCTAGTAAAATATACTCCTGTTACTGAATTAATTTTTACCGTTCGTTTATTTTTTTTACTGTTCGTTTATCTCATGAATTCATTATATATATCTTGTTTAAAGCATGAGTGAAAACAAAGACAATATTAAAAATATTAGTTCTAGATGACAATGAAAACACTTGCAACCATACCAAAAAGAGTAATACTGGTGAATAAAATGGTTTTAAATAATTAAAAATTAAAAATTTAAATACTTATGTAGTTTGTGTTCAAATTATTTCTAACTAGGACATCCCCAGACATCCTCATCCCCTCCATCACCACAAAAAAGGCAAGAAAAATTTAAAAAAAAAAACAAAATAAAATGAATGGTAGAGAAGGCATGGTGTAAATTTGGGGTACACTATAGTATTTAATCTACCAAAAAAAGTCAACAAAAGAAATTCCATTGACTTTTGGTTCACCTGGCCACTCGTTGGTCGTCATAGTCCGCCGGCGGGATGGACTTCGGCGCCGAATCGCCGCAGCCATTTCTCTCGACGGGAATAACGCCGGGAGAAAAAATATACAGAGCAGTCTCGTCAGTCTACAATTCTCTACCGAAGAAAGGAAAGCCTCAAGGCCGGGAAGTCACCGTGTTGGCTGCCTTTCTCATATCTTCTCCACATCGCGGCAAATCCGAATTAAAATCTTGAAATTCATCGTCTGTTTAAATACATTCGCCTCGTATATGCTGTAATTTCTTCATTGATATCAGAACTGGAGGTTGTTTCGCTTGGAACTGGGACGAAATGCATTGGGCGCTCTCGTCTGAGTTCAAATGGCGACGTTGTTAACGACTCTCACGCTGAGATTGTAGCCAGAAGAGCTTTTATGAGGTTTAATTTTGATTTTTTTAATAGAAAGAATTCCAAATACTATGGCGTGAACTCGTGATGATTGATGAATGAGACTAATGTGAGTTTAGATCCTTATTTCTGATTTTTTGATTAAATTTCCCTAACGCTCATTCAGTGAATCTCATCCCAAAATATCAGCTTTTATTAGTTCTTTACTTCTTCCATAGCACATCTTGGAGGTAGCAGGAGGTTTATGTCCACAATGGATGATGTATTTTGTTGAACAAGTAAATGGAGCTCATAAATATTTCCTGAATCATATCAGGTATTTATATGCAGAGGTTAAGCGTCTTATTGATCGTTATCATAGTCATACAAGCAATCCTGGGATGGAAATAGGGGATGGTGTTAGCGACCAAAACTTTCTGTTCAATTCAATAACAGATGATTCTGGACGAAGACGATTGGTGATGAAGCCGGGTTGGGAATTACATCTGTACATATCACAATTTCCGTGTAGGTACTCTTTTCTAATATCTTTTGCTTTTGGTTGGAAAAGATAAATTTTCTTTTGCACTCATCTTTCTTTTTGACCACTTCATTTCTTTGTAGGCGGAGAAGCCTCGCCAAGTTCAGAACTTGCTCACCTAAGAGAGAGTCATTCAATGACTGACAATCACCATTATTCCCCATTAGAGCTCAATGGAACAGTTGAAGGTATTAGTTCTGCATCACTTTGAGTGGTGTCATAATTTTCTACCATCAACTTTTATCTTCTAAAGGTGTTGCTGGTTTCTTCATTTTTACCATCACTTTGGGCAGTTACGTATTAATCGGTTAAGCTATTAGTATCATCAAGAATGGTGCACGAATCCAGTGACGTGCTTCTGTAACTTCATCATTTCCAGTTTTTTTTAGTGTCATACTGAATGCCCCTTCATGTTTATATCATCTATGCGCCGCTTGTAACCAAGTCAAGTTTTGGTAGCTTTTTGTTCTAGTATATCAATGCCCATTTCACTCTTACAAGTTCTAGTGTTGTTATGAAGAATTTATAGTGATAAAAAGGACTTCATAATCAGACTAGGCTATACTTATTTTCATTTCTCTTTTTCAGGAGATAATTCAATGGTTATTGGCACAGTTTTGAGGAAGCCAGGTCGTGGAAATACGACTTTGTCAGTCAGCTGCTCTGATAAGATTGCCCGATGGAATGTTGTTGGAGTTCAAGGTTTCCCACACACTCTTTCTTTTTTGGAACTAAAAACCTATTTGATTCATTGTTTTTTGGTTAGACTATTTTAAACTAGTATGTCGTCCCAATCACCTCTGTGTTGGTTGAAAGGGGTGTATTGAGTCTATTGACTGTTGGGTATCCCACATTGGTTTCTAGTGCATGTGCGTTAATATTTAAGTGTGAGGTAATCCTCACTTCTTAGAATCAATTTAACATGACATCTTCCCTTGATCTTGGCCTTGAACTTATAATACGTTGGGGAGTGTTTGCCACTCGATGGTTGTGGCAACTTGATGGGGGTCAGTTCTGATCCATTTGTCCACCCGCCAGTTGCTCGGCCTGGTTTGTGTTGATGTGGGGCATGAGAAGTATCACACATAAGTTGTCTGGTAGGTCTGAGTCTACTATTCAAGTGTATGGGATTTTCTACAGTGATTTTGACCCAATTTAACACTTTTAATTTTAAAAAATAGGAGCACTACTTTCTTACTTCATGGAGCCAGTTTACATTTCTTCAATAACAGTTGGACAATCACCTATAAGCTCTGACAATTCCAACACTGAAGAACGAATGAAGAGAGCTGTGTATGACCGGCTTCTACCATTATCATCCAAAATTATGTCTCCCTATGAAGTGAAAAAGGTTTCTTTGGCTCTATGCTCATTCCATATAGATGTACGAAATTATTCATATTAATTCCTTGTGTACTTACAGCCAATTTTCATGGTAGCTCCAATACCATCAACCGAGTTTCAGCACTCTGAAACTGCCTCAGCCACCTTAACATGTGGGTATGTTTTAGTTCTTTACCCGTTTTTTTCTTTGAAGGCTGCTAGTTTCGTCTATCTTATAAAAAAAATTTATCCTTGTAAAATCACTGTTAGTATGCCTCTTGAATGAAAGGTACTCCATATGTTGGAACAAGAACTAAAGGTAATTTTTACTTCTTCAGTTCTAGTGTTCTACAGGTCCTGATCTACTAATGTCTATTGTAAGTTGTGATGCTCATAATTATATTATATATTGTCATCTAGAGTTCAATCTAATTGATCTCACTTGCTCTATACTATGTAATGGTTATCCAGGTGTGGGCTCCAAAAATTAGTGGAATAAACAATGTTCTCTAGTCTTCCTTCTTTCAATTTTCTGTTGCAGGGACAAGCTGTGGATTACACTATTGCTTCAAGAACCTTCAAACAGAGCCCACATTTTAAAAACTGGTTTATGAAACCTTACAACTCTGAGGCCTTCATGCATACTGGACACTGAGGCCAGGTATTCTTAAAAGAAGGTTACCTTCTCTTAACAGTGCTATTTAAGGAACCATGTTCCTTTCATTGGCAGTTTGACACTAGCGTGGTTAAAATGATCCTAAATTGCATACTCATATCCCAAATCAACTATCCATTTGCTTTTGACATGTGTATTACAAAAGTCATAGCGTGGTTGAGATTCATTCAAAAAAGAAATTAAACGATTTCAACCACACAATTATCTCCTTATAAGGAAATGAGAAATATATTTTGCGGCAACTAAAAAAGTAATGCTGGAAGTTTATTCTGGAACAAATGGAGTAATATTTATGTGGCCAGTTTTTGTTCTATTGAAGGCATTGTTATGCTAACAACAACCCAGTAAAATCCCCCAAAAGTAGGATCGGGGAGGGTGTGTGTACGCTGACATTATCTATGCCTGAGAGTAGAGAGGCTGTTTCCAAGAACGCATTCTTATGTTATCTGGAAGAAATGAATAAAACAAAAGAATAAAAAAAGAGATGAATGATATAAATAGTTCTGTGGTATCCACTTGTTTCTGGTTGCTCTAACTCATATCCATGTGTTTTCTTTTTGTTTGGTATCTGCACACATACTACATTACTACAGAAAGAAGTAATGCAGAAATACTGTATTATGGCTAGAGTACTCCTTTTAATGCTTTATAGTGTGTAACATTTATGTACAAAGAAGGGGAACAGTCTGAAAATTAATAATTGCTCTCTTAATATTCCAAGGTGACTGTTCTTTTAAAACTTTTTTTAAATTTTGCTAAAGCTATAGTTAAAAGAGAATGGAGGGAGTGAGCAGTTTATGAATTGATTATAATCTCCCGGATTTTGATCATGAAACCTGTATTTAGTCTGAGCACTCTACACTCTACAGCCATAACAATAAATTTCTATCGAAGGAATTGTGATCTTCATCCACATGGGATTTGTGAAGATTTAAGTAGCTGCCTGTCTCGGATATGCATTTGTAGCTTCCCATAGCTCAACCTGCTCGATTAATTTGTGTTTCGTATTAAGAAAGGCTTGAAAATTTGCAGGATCAGAATGAGGAGGCATGGTGCAAGGGCTTGATTCTGATGCATTGTTCACCATTGAAAATAATCTGAATTTCTTCCTCAACCCTTTGACAGAACAAATCAGTGCCTCGTGGCACACTTCAACAGCTTCTTCAGGTACACTTGGCTGAAACTTCAAATGCTTTGCGTATTCTTGCAAAAGATGAAACATGTAGTCATAGACCTACTTCATTCTTAAGTTTTCTTGAACATACCTGCTTCCTTCTTTCCCAATCTTTTTTGTGCCTGATGAACCCCCATAAGAGGGGAAAAAACTTAGTGTCAAGTTGTAAAAGTTTATTTCGCCGAAATGATTGAATCTACTAGATTTTCTGAAACGCAAAACATTTGTTACCATTTGTTTCATCCAACCAAATAATTTAGCCAAAGCTATTGTTCTGATGATGTGCAGAATAAGAAGAAAAAGCTAGAACTTTCTTAACCATCAGACTTATTCAATTGAGTTTTGTCATTGTAATTATATTTGTGCAGATTTACCTCTTTTGGATGAGAATTTCCCCAATCTACTGCAAATTTGGTCGATCTGCATTTTTCTTTTTTCATTGATCGGCCAATAATGGACTGTGGGTACAAGGCTTCGTGTGAAGAAATCATAGTAGCGAGGGTTTATGATCAGACTCATGGAATCACAGGCAAGAATATACTTCTCACTCACTGGCCATGAAACTCCTTCGACATAAATTTTATACCTGCCACAGAAATCATTGTGTGAAAGCTGGAATACTGCGTAGTCTTGAAATGTCCAAGAGTTTCACAACAACACAAACCTATAAGTGCATTGGTTCACCAAATCTGAGGTGTTGAATCCCTCGGTTTTCTCATGAAGCCAGTCCTGAAAATGGCTAATTGCAGTCTTCTAAGTAAAATAATTGCAGAAAACATTTTTTTCTTGTTCTTATGCAGTTTAAGAACTTTAGAGTACTATTTCATTAGTTACCACGTCATAGATCCGGGCATTCCAGTCTTGCTTAGCAGAAACATTGCATTTGACAAGATCTGGCCTTGCAATGCCCAGTTTCGTATTTCCCTTCCAATATGCGTAGGGCTCTCTGTCCTCCCACTTCATCGCATCATTGCTTTCTTGCAACTCTCTCTTCAAGATTTCCCAAGGCTTTATTTTGAGCTCCGGCCTACAAAATTGCTCATTTGAACTTAACAAGCTTTGATACCACACTAATATCAATTTTAGCTTTATTAGGAAGGGTGATGGTATGCATTTACCAACCCCAGAAGGACCAATCAGGAAACACAATGTCATTGCTCCATTCATCAATACAGTAGTGAAACACCGGTGGAGGAGCAAAACCTTTTTTGGTTATGTCGTGGGCCCGTTTATGTATAACGGGCTTGTCACCACACTCAAACATCATATCCAAATCCGGGATTCTACCCGGGTACAATGCAAGAAGCTGCAAAGTTCCCCATAGTGTGACCATGTCCCTTGTTTGGAAAGCCTTTTTATACTTTTCCACATTCAATACACCTTTCACTACAATCACTCTAATGTGTGCTACTTCTCTCGCTCTTTCGATCATCTCCCTTGTGATTCCTGTAGCTTTCCATGGCTTCAGGTCTTCATGGATCCACCGGAAGTAATCTGGGCATTCTTCAGTTTGTGATGTATGTTCATTCTTGTGCACATAACCGACTCTCCGTGGGCATTCGGTTGAACATGGTATCTTAGGGAATATAGTGTTAGACTTTTTTTTTTTTGCAACGAACCTGATAGAATAGACTGAAAACAAAATTGCACTGTTAATGTTCCAAAAAAAAAAAAAGAGAAGAATAAAATAATAATGTTCTTCCCTGAGCTTTTTACACCAAATTAATCTTGTTCTAAATAATGTTGCTTAGTAGTAAGATTATGAGCTAGGTTCTTTTGACCCCTATTATGGGTGCATAATATGCCACCAGACAATTTAAGGGTCCTACGACTACCCCAAAGTGTGGATCCTACCTCATAACCCCAGCTTGACCCTTCCACTCCAACCCCCCTCCGTGTTTCGCCAATATACTATAGCATATCATCGTTCTGTTGATATGTTACCATAAATACAATCACGCGCATATCAGGAAAACAATGGTAACTAGTGGGACAAGGGCAGACTTGGGGTTCTGAAGGGAGGATGGTAGGAACCACTTCAAGGCCAAATTGACTTAATTGAGCACCGCAAGGCCCTCAAACGGAATTGGTGTCATATAATGACACTCAGTGAGTGGTTTCAAAAGAACCCCGGTCTAAGGTTATTGTCACAAATGACTCACAATCACAAATACAAGTACTTTATTTGGTCTAAAATTTATACGTTCTACAAAACAAGTGGTGGCAAGACTATATTATTTTATCAAATACCTAATGAAAATATGTAAAGAAAGTGATTAAAGTTTGACCGTGTAAAAAGTAAGTGGAAAGAACACTAAAAGATGGAAAGAGTATTTAAAAAAATAAGATGGAAAAAATCACTTTTTTGTTGTTCTGGTCATTCATTAAATTTTATTTATTTGTATATTTTTACTGAATACTCTGAATGACTAGAACAATAACAAAGCGATTTTTTTACATAAGGAATATTGGAGTATTATAGGCTCTCCATGTCTCACCTAATTAATTATAGTGTCTTTATCTAGTATAAATGTCTAGTGACTTTTTCGAGACAAACTAAATAAACTTCGAACTCTAATTACTATCAATTTGTATTACATATGAGTATAATGAAATATAATTATCAATATCATAAATCTAATATAAAGTTATTTTAATGTGAAAATACGGGGGGAGCTCGATTTATATAGGGAAAGTGACGGCCCAAGAGGACCAATGGAAAAATGACACCGGGCATATACTATAATTAGCATTGATGACCTCTCGAGAAGAGGAAGCGACACGACAACTAGGCGGTGGCATACCGGATTTCCGTAAAAAAAATTTCTATTAAAAAAACACTTTTATCACATCTTTTCCTTATTAATTTATCTATCTCATTTTACTTTATCCATTACATCAAATGACATTTTTGAAAAAAACGCCAAAATACAATCTTCGAAAATCCTTTAAAAATCAAAATCAAAAATTTTTTAAAGAACGGAGCGAGTAGTAAATTTAACTTAACCATCTTTGGTTCAAAAAATTTTGAAAAAAAATATATTTCTCCAATATTGCTCGTTAAAATTGGAGAAATTTAGTTTTCCCACAACTTAGTAAAATTGGTCTTCTCATTCGCTTCTCTATACTACTTTTCTTTTCATTTTTCAATCAGAACAAAACTGATAATTTATTTTCCATCTAATTTTTTTTTCTTTTCAATCTCAAAGTGCATCCAAGTGAAAAAGTTTTACGTAAAAAATGGGAAAGCAGTTTGGAAAACGGAAAATATAACATAACATAATTATAATTAGACGATGAAAGAAAGAAAGAGAGGCAGCTTACAACAACAAAGCAACCCTAGCAAAGCATCATGAAACCCTACTAGCAAACACTACAATAATATCCAATTTATTCCAGCTAATAATAATAATGAGAATTAAGCTGATGTCGTCTTAGAAGATAAGGATAATAATAGCGTCGCCAGCCATGTGACTTGGAAATTATTACGCCGCCGTGGTGGTGGTGGTGGTGGTCTTGAAGTCGAAGAGAGCGGAGAGGGCGGCGGCGGAGTCGATGCACCAGCCGTGCTCGACGTGGGGGTTGGGGAAGCGGGCGCAGAAGCTGCCGCTCCCCTTCTTGAAGCACTCCAAGTTGGAGAGGCACAGGTTGGGGTGGGCCTCGATCTTCTTCGCCACCTCCGGGAGGCCCAACGAGGTGGGGTGGATGCACTGGCCCACAAACAGCCCCCAGGGGACGCACCGGCAGCCATTGCCGTCGCCGCACGGCGGCATCTCGAACGGCGAGCACACGCTGTGCCCGTTGCAGTCCGCCGCACCCATCCGGAGAACCACTGCAACAATTAATAATAAGGTGAAATTAATATTATCTGGAAATGAATAATTAACGTCAATTTAAAGTTTAAAATTTAAAAAACAAAACAAAATAAAAAGGAATAATGAATTATATATTTTGGGTATAGTATGCATGCGTACGGGAAGAAGCGAGGAAGAAGAGGGCAAGCTGCAGCTTGATGGAAGCCATTGTTGTTCCAAGTTCTCTGAGTTTTCTTTGGTTACAATGTGGTATAGGACTCTCTTTAACTTCCCTCTCTATGTGTACCTATTTATATAGGACTCATCATGTACCCCTAATCACCTGAGGCATGTTTGGTTGGGGCGAATGAGTAAATTGAATTTGAGATAGTATTGAGGATAGGATTCGGATGGATGGCCACTATTATTTCCTACTAATAGTCACTCTATTATTACATCGGCTGGTTCGGTGGCCACTGGTTTCAGTGGCCACGGAAGTCACTACCCCATACGGAGCTTCGTTGATAAAATTGATGATTCTTGTTCCCTAACTCTCCCGGTAAACCCCCGCCAAGTCCCGACCCCAAATCATCTCTTCACCTACGTTAATTGCACCCCGTAAGTATAATTGACTTTAAAATCAAAATTTTTTACTCCAAAGTCAACTAAATTTGCACCCCGCAATTGACGTGGTTAGAGAGATGAGTTGGGATCGGGACCGGGGGGGTTTACCGGGGGGTTAAAGGAGGTAGGAACTATCAATTTTACGAATGGAGCACCGTAGGTGTCCTAATTGGGTTTGAAGAATATCAGTGGCGGTGGATATTTACTTGAACAATGATCAGTGAATAATGATTGCCGGTATTACATTGAGAAATAAAAACATATGATACTACGTCAGGAAAGTCACTATGTTTTAGTACTATTTAGATAAATTGCCCTACTTTTTATTGATGTACGAATTTGTATACTCTCCCGTCCCAAAATGTTTGTCACATTTCCTTTCTCAATCATCACATGACTTTTTGTTTATTTGTACATTTTTATTGATTATTTGATAAAATAAAATATTTTTGACACCTCTTATTTCAAAGAATTTTTTGTGTAATTTTTAAATATGTAAATTTTATTTTTTATTTTATACTAATATTTAATTTAAATGAATTGAAAAAACCTACTCTTTTATCCCGTTTCTTAAAATATGGTAAAGAAGAAGTATAAATTGATTATAAAAATTGTCACGGGCCCAAATATGGTCCTCATTTCGCAACAGGTGGAAAGCACAACTTGAGCTGTCACACTTTTTTTTTTGTACCCAAATCAAATTCAAAAAAAAATAAAAAAACGTTCCTATTTCCCAACAGGAGGAAAGCATGTGCCTTGGCGCTTTATGTGTGTTTCAGGAATCTTTCATTCATCACTCATTTTTTTTACCGCTGTATTAATCATGCATGCACATTACACTCTCCTTCCCTACAAATCTCATTTAACTTTGGACAACTTTAGAAATTCCAATTTTAACTCTTCTTTAAACAACTTTATATCATCCCCTACTAAATAAAAAAAACTTACGAGTATTTACATATCTTTACACATTATACATTATTCATATTGCATTGAGCTTTTTATTGGATATCAAAACTATGTCAAATTTTCGGAAATTAAAAAATGAAATTGAATATTTGGCTCGCGCGTAATGCATAGTTGACAAGACAAAGAGTGCTCAGGGAGTAATACTTGAATTTGATTTCTATTAACTTTGCTGGAAGAGAAATATACTAAACATAGAGACTCTGCAAGTTACAAGTAACGAATATATTCTTTGTGACCAATCTATGATTAAAATTCAATTTATCTCATCTCATGTGATCGTTAACCAATTCTGAGAGACCCTTATGGATAGGGTTCTTCCTTTTTATGAAATTGAAAATGAGACGAATAAGGGGATTTGATTTTTCTTACCTAGATATATACTTGTCTGGCCGGTTTGGTGATGTTTGGAAAATTGATATGATATGAAGAATGAATATAATTTTGAAATCTTAGATATATGATATGAGTTCTGAAATCTAAATTAAATTTGTTAGAAGTATTTTAAAATTGTGTTTTTTATTACATACAAATTAAAGGTGGCCGGCAATAGGGAATGAAATTAAAATTTGAGTCTTCTTACATATTTATTTAGATGATTATTTAATTGGACGACTAATTAACACTTAAGTTCTTCTAATATTTTCTAATTGCTTCCGATTTTTTGAAACTTCTTCCTGTTTTCTCTAACATCGAACCCTGAAAATTTTCGACACAAAAGAACACGGCCTAGCTAGATCTAATTTGACACCATCATATTGGTGTCAAATTTCAACACCACTTTAATTAAAATGCATAAAGTGTCACCTTCGTAATAAATGTTTTCTACCACATTTAAGTATTTAACCCAATCTCTAAACCGCACACCTCAGCCCCCCTGCCCCCACTCCTGTCCAACATCCGCTAATTTTTTGTCAAGATCGTCCCCAAAAAATCAAGGGCCCCGTACGAGTACGACACGAAGAAAATGGACTCTTATGTCGGTTTAGATTCAATTTTTTCGAATACCAATGAATACCAAAAAATATGAATCCGAATCAAATCAAGATTGTTCAACTCATTTACAATCTACACCGTACCTAATACACCCCTTTTGTGAATGAAAATACAATTCACATTTCCTCATGAACTACGTATGGTTTGAATTTTGTGTTATGCCATGTTTGAAAAAGTATGAACACAAATAATCGACATTATGTTATATTCACAGGAGAAACACATTGAACGAAAATTTACTTTAGTTAACATCCACGAACACGATATTTAAAAATCAGAGGAATTTTTTTACATGTGTGCGCTTTCATTCATTATTCAGTAAAATAATGTATTTTTTCATCTCTTAGCTTGGTTTGTAGAACTTTTGACATTGTTTTTAAAAATATAAGTTTTATTTTTTATTTCTATGACGATAACTTAGTAAGATAAATTTTAAATTTTTTACTTCATTTGGCATAATGTGAATTTTTTTTATTGTATTGAGATATTTTTTTAACCAAGTGAAAACGTAGTTTAAAAAAAACAAATCAAAGGTGCTGGTCATCGATATTTTGTACGAAAGAGTCTTTTTTTTTTTTTGAAAGCTTGTACGAAAGATTCGTTCACGCATGCCTTGCCATAGACTAGGCGGATATAGGCTTATCCTATCAATCATGAAAAAATCCCTTGCTTTACCTGTCACACTTATTTGAACTTTTGACTCATTTCAAAAGGGATGGCCCACATCTCCAACCATTCCTTCACATTCAGCCAGTAGTTAAACAATGATAAATTAACTTTGGTAATAGATTAATGACAAAGAATATAGTTTACCCTTGATATTTTTAGAAGATGTATGTTTAATATAGTTCCATTCTACTCCCTCCGTTTCTCAAAACGGTTCCTCTTTTAACTTTGGGGAAAAATAAGGAAATGTTAAATTGTAGTTGACTTTCCAATTGTGTCCTTGATGTGATGGGTAAAAGTAAAATGTGATAGTTTAGTTGTTAGTGAAAAAGTATGATTTGATAGGTAGGGTATGAAAAGTAGGGGTAAAAATGGTTTTTTAATAGAAAAGGGAAGTGTTTTAAGAAAAATAAAAAAAATGAAAGAGGAAGGATTTTAAGAAACGGAGGGAGTAACACATTTGCTTGATATTGAACTCGGTCTCACTCCCTTGGTACTCGATGTCTTTGTTAACTGCGTAAGTATCTTCCAGTGACAAATCTGGAAATTAAAAAATATCAGGGGCAAAGTTAGAGAAAGGAGTAGAGCGGGGGGAGGATTGGGAACAGTGCCCTCAGATTTTTTAAGGCTATTTATGAGGATGAAAATGGATAAATTTATTTTCAAACAAGTATTCAAATAAGTAAAATAAAATATTTATATAGTAGAAAAGTATATTCCATATAAAATATTTCATAACCTAATATAACTACAAAATATTATATTATATTTGAAATATTTTACCTTTATGTTTTATTTAAATCATTATTTTTACATTTAAACTAAAACTTTTTTATTTTATTCAATTAATTATTTTTACTTTTTAACAAGAATTTTCTTTGGCACTGGCACATAATTTATTTCACTCGGGGCGCTATTTTAGTTTACCACAAAATTTCCATGTTTTCACCTCATTTCTCAACATGGGGAAAGCACTAGGAGTGAGCATTTTTACCGAACCGACCGTTGAACCGATGTTCAAAAATCGAAGCGCTCGAAATTTCGGTTTGGATTATTAAGCATGAAAAAAAGTCGGCTATTTCAGTTAATCGGTCGGTTTTCATTTATCAAGTACCAAAATATAATTCGGATTGTTTGATTTTCAACCGAGGACTGAACCGACCTGATGCTCCCTAAAAAGGACTACTTGAGTCTTAAGTGGTCACTCTTCAATTCTTCACACAATTCCAATATCAATCCCTTTTCCCAGCAGGTGAAAAGCACGTGGCTTTGCGCTTTATGCGTGTATCAGAATTCATGCATTAGTGTAGTCTTTTTTCACCCATTTTTTTTACCGGACAGCTTTAAACAACTTCCCAAATTCCAATTTTAAAATTAGTTTTTAAAATAACAAAAAATTAAGAATACATATTTCCTCCTTGAGCCAAAAGGCATTTTTACCTTTTGTTGATGAGACTAAAAACATCCCCAATGTTAATTTTGAGAGAGTCCTTTCATTCTTTAGACTTAAACATTGGGGCAGACAAAAAAAATGAGAAAAGTCTAGAAAAGAGTCGTTGAGATCCCAAACTCATTTCACTTTCGAGTAATTTACCTAAATAGAACTAAAACATAATGATTTTTCCAATATAGGACCATATGTTTTTATTTCCCAATGTAAGACCTTTGGTCATTATGAAGTAGTCATTATTCAAGTAAATGTCCATCATTAGTGGACATTATTCCACCCACTAGGTCATTATTAAGTCCTATTTAGAGAATAAAAAAGTTTAAGTCCTATATTAGGAAAATCATTATGTTTTAGTCCTATTTAGTGCAAATTTCACTTTCTAGAACTCCCGACTCAACCTATCAAAATAAAATCAAACACGCATAGTCAATACCTCTTGTTTTTTTAAAACAAATTGCGTATTTTTTTCTTACTCGACATCTTTCTCCAAAAGGTGAAATCGCTCACCCCGGGCGCCCCTCACCCCCGACCCGACGGGAATGTGAGAGGAGGTAAATCACGGTGACTCAAGCACAACACTTAGAAGGGTGTATTCAATCTAGAGTTTACAGGATTTTTTTGTATTTTAAAACTCTACGGGTATTCAACTAGGATTTTAAAGAATCATTTAAAATCTCAAAGTATTCAATTAAGATTTTAAAATGTTCATCAAAATTTAACAGTATTGAAAAATCAATGGATTTCCAAAAATTTTTATTAAATAAGGATTCTAAAGGATTTTAGAGTTCTTTTTATACATAAAATGCTATATACAAATCCCACCACAAATATAGGGATTTTGATGGATTCTTCTGTATATTATATTGATCCGCACTTCTTCCGTTCAGATTGTCTTCCATATCTCGATCCTCTGCTACACAATCGGTTCATCTTCCGTTTCTCCATCTGGTCGGCGGCACAATCGCCCTGCTTCTCTTGCGCTCTCGTGTCCTCCGGCGACGGTGGAAAGAATTGAACTTGTGGTGGCGTGAGGCTGGCTACTCGCAGACTGCAGCGACCCTCCTTCGCTGCTTTATTCCGATCGAAGCTATGTTGTTCTCTTCAGATCTTTGGTTGCATCGACTTCTTCTTCTCGATCCGATTTCTCCCTAAAATCTCTTGATGAAATTTCCTTGCACCCAAACTTGGTCGTTAGGCCAGAGCTTTATTTCCTTCATCATTGCAATTCTTTTGCACCAATTGGTGATTAGGTCTGATGTTTTTTTGTCCGATCAACCTGCCTGAACGCCCGGAAGTGAAGGCGCCATTGATTTTGATGTTGTCTTCCAATTCAGAAATGAGTTGGGAAGAAAAGATTTTTGACTTTTAAAAATATAAACAAATCTTAACAAGTCTTGATAATAAGATACATTAGAATCTATCGAAATCTGCGTAGAGTTTAAACAATTTATAAATCTTACGTAATTCATGGATTATTAAAAATCTAACATAATCATTTAAAATCTGAATTGAATACACCACTAAACTAGATCATATCTTACTCAACATCATAACTTTAGTTTTAAATTACCTCCGATACTCTTCTTGAATTCTAAATTGTTCATATTCATATTACTCCGTATTACATTTTCAATTTCCAATTTTTTTGAAAATATAATACTCCGAATAATAAAAATTGGGAATTGAGATATAATTTGTAGGACACAATTTACACCATGTAATTTATATGTATGAGATACTAAAAATGCAAGGTTAAAATGCTTAGGCTCAACAAGTTAAAAATTTAAATTATGTTGAAGGACACATTAAAAAATTTTGTAATGAAGTCTTGAATAAAAAATATATAAAAGGGATCAAAAACAAAAGTTCCCTATTTTACAAGAATGACAAAAGATATACAGGAGTATTTCATAAACCCTTAAATTTATATCACAAGACAATTTAATTTGTGTACATTTCGGGCACTAAATCATACACTCCCGAATTTATGTCTCACTCCATTATTCACAAGTCAAATTGTTTTTGTTTACTTTTTTTCATTAGTTACGTTATTTGTCTAAATAAATAACAAAATCATTTCACTTTTTATTCTATCCAATAAAAAATTTATAATAGTTTAATGTGAAATTTGCACTAAATAGAATTAAAAGATAAATCATGTTTCAATGTAGACTTAAGTATTTTTATTTTTTAAATAATACTTAATAACATCTTGTAAGAGGAATAATGTTCAATGACCAATGATCTTACATAGGAAAATAAAGACATATAGTCCCATATTGAGAAAATCATTATGTTTTAATCCTATTTAAGTAAATTCTTCTTAATTTAATATAGCTTGTATAAAAGTAATATAGAAATGTGTTGAAATATTGGAATGATAATATTGCTCCTTTGAATTATGGGGTACGTGATAGAGTATATATAGAAGAGACTCTTAACACAACTAGGAATAAAGAATGAAAACTAATTAACATACAACATCTACCACAAATAGGAGTAGGAAACTGATTAATAATCAAACACTACCATAACTAATACTACTAGAAGTAATATTAGTATTATTGTCTAACATCTCCCCTCAAGTTGATCTCTGGCTGAAGCAAGAGGAAGCTTGGACACTAGCTGGAAACTTTGAGAAGAGAGAAGTCTGACGTGCGCCGGCTCAGACATCGTTGAAGAAGAGAGAAATTGACGTGCGCTAGTAGCTGCTGACGTCGATGAAGAAGAGAGAAGGTTGACGTGCGCTTGTAGCTGCTGACGTCGAAGAATAATAGAGAAGGCTACTGGAGGTGCCTGTTTGATTGAATATTCTTGACATTTTTTGTCTTTTTCTTGGATCCGGGCAACGCCCTGTTTCTTTCTTGAAGGGGTGAGTTGTAGAGGTATTCTTTCCTCTTTCACTGCTTCCCCTCTTGGCTTTACTTTTGCGCTGATTTACTTTGGATTTTTATTGGTTCAACAGAAGAGAAAAAGAAGGGAGATTGATGATTAGAATGAGTGATTTTAGAGAAAAAAAGTAGGTTAAGAATTGGAGATGGAAAAAAAAAATTTGGGTCTGAGATTTTGATATGGTGAATTGGAGAGAAACAACAATCATTTTTTTTCTCTTTTTTTTTGAGAAGATAGGATGATCTGAGAGAGTTTGTGAGAAGTTGGATTTTTTTTTGAAGAACCATGGAGATGACAACACAGAAGTTCCTCCTTTGATAATTTTTTTTGTGTGATTTCAACGAGAGTTTTTTTTTTCATTCGAATGGAGAAGTTGATTTGAGGATAAAGAAGAAAAAGAAAATAGAGGTGAATAGGGTGGAGCCGCCGTCGCCGGAATTACCGGCGGCGGCGGCGGGAGCAAAGAACTCTTTTAGGTCACCAAGAGCGGTGGCTCTGATACCATGTTGAAATATTGAAATGATAATATTGCTCCTTTGAATTATGGGGTACATGATAGAGTATATATAGAAGAGATTCCTAACACAACTAGGAATAGTGAATGATAACTAACTAACATACAATATCTACCACAAATAGGAATAGGAAACTGATTAATAATCAAACACTACCATAACCAATATTACTAGAAGTAATATTAGTATTATTGTCTAACAAAATGTATATTGTAAATAAAAAAGAGGGAAAGTGAAATGGAAAACATAGATGCATTATGCATTATTGAAATGATCAAACAGCTCAAACCACACCACAGTTAATAAGTTGCATGACCATCAAACTGAACTTAATAATTAACACGCCCACAATTAACTACCAATTATTAATCTTATTAAAACTGCAGCTCTTCGATTTATTTAACCTAATTAAACTTCATTAATCATCACCGGATGACGATGATTAAGCATTAAGCATGGCAGGCAGTGAATCAGTTCAGTTGTCGGTGACCATCTTCAGGAGACCATTGGGCGCGACGGAGGAGTCGATGCACCACCCGTGGGAGACGCCCGGGTTGGGGAAGCGGGCGCAGTGGTTGCCGCTCCCCTTCTTGAGGCACTCCGCGTCGGAGAGGCACAGGTTGGGGTGGGCCCCGATCTTCTCCGCCACCGCCGGGAGGGGGAACGAAGTGGGGTGGATGCACTGGCCGACGAACAGCCCCCAGGGGACGCACCGGCAGCCGTTGCCGTCGCCGCACGGCGGCATCTCGAACGGCGAGCACACGTCTTTCCCGTTGCACCCCGCCGCTCCCATCCGGAGAACCACTGCATCCAAAAATTAACAAGATGAACTTAATATTATTTAAAAATGAAATAAATAAAGTAAATTCAAAAAACACAAAAAAAATTAAAAAAAAAAAGGAATGGATCATGTATATTTGGGTAGTATGCATGCATGCGTACGGGAAGAAGCGAGGAAGAAGAGGGCAAGCTCGAGCTTGATGGAAGAAGCCATTGTTGTTCTTTCTCTGATGAGTTTTCTTTTGGTTCTTTAACTTCCCCTCTCTCTGTATGTGTACCTATTTATATATATAGGACGACTCATGCATGTACCCCTAATCACCTGAGGCATGTTTGGTTGGGGCGATTGAGCAAATTGAATTGGAGATAGTTATGAGGATAGGATTCGGATGGATGGCCACTATTATTTCCTACTAATTGTCACTCTATTATTACATTTCGCTTTTTTCATTCAGGTTGCAGTGGATATTTACTTCAACACTCACTGGTGAGTGATACTAGCTCCCTCCGTCCCCTTAAGATGTTCTCATTTTGACTTTTGGTGGTTTTTAAGGAGAGTTGAAAAAAGGTGAAAGTTTTCCATAATACCCTTAATGAAAAATGAGTGGAGTGTATTAAATGAGGTGGGTGAGGTGTAATAAATAAAGTAAGTGGAGGTAGTTGTGGTATTTTAATTGTTAAAAAATGAAATGAGAAGATCTATTGTGGACATAGAAAAAGAGCTATTGGGAAGATTTATGGAGGACGAAGGAAGTATTATATTCGGAAATTAAAACATATGGTTCTACATCGAAGAAAGTCACAATGTTTTAATACTACGGAGTATTTAGGTATATTGCCCTACTTTTTATTGATGTACAATTTTTATACCTTTTCCGTCTCAAATTGTTTGTCACATTTTTTTAAAAATCATTACAGGAACTTTTATTTATTTGTACATTTTCATTGATTATTTGATAAAATAAAATATCTTTGACGCCTTTTATTTCATAAAATAAAATATGTTAATTTTATTTTTTATTTCTATACCAATATTTAAATAAAATGAATTGAAAAAACTTAATATATAATCTTATCTCATTTTTAAAATGTGGTAAATATTTAAGGACGAACGAATATAAAATAATTTTTTAAAAAAGTGGAATTTAACATTGTAACTGTCTATTTGTAATCAAATTTAAAACGGAGTTGGTAGGAAATAAGAATGGTATGATACACTCCTTATGGTCCTCATTTCGCAACAGGTGGAAAGCCAGCACTACTTCATTTGTCACAATAGTTTTGAAAACCGGACCGGACCGGGAACCAGTGAACCGGCCAACAAAGCGGGACCGGGTATTATTTTATTTACTCATATACTAATTTTTTATATTATTTTATTTATATATATATTAATCTATTTATTAAAAATGTTTGAACCACCGGTTCAACCACTCGAACCACTGGTTCGACCAGTGAACCAGTGAACCAGTGCCTTGACCGATTCGATCACCGGTTCAGTTCTGAAAACTATGTCTGTCACACTTTTTTTACACAAATCAAATTCGAAAAAAAAACGTTCCTAGTTCAAAACAGGTGGAAAGCATGTGCCTTTGGCTTTATGTGTGTTTCAGGAATCTGTCATTCATCACATCTTTTTTCACTCATTTTTGTACCGCTTTATTAATTGAGAGCAATGGTAGGGGTACACCATTTGGTGTACCCCATTTGTCCCACACTCCCTTCTCCACAACCCATTTTTATCTACTTTTTATTTATTAAATTTTTTTAAAAATTCTTACCCATTTTTGAGGTAATGGAGGGGATGAGAGACAAATGGGGTACACTAAAAGTGTACCCCTAGCATTTTTCATTAATTTATTCATACACATTTCACTTTGGACGACTATACAAATTTGCCCCCACTCCGGTCCGGCGTCGGCTAATTTTGTGTCAGGAACATCCCTGAAAAATCAAGGATCCCGTATGAGTACGACATGAAGAAAATGGACTCTTATGTCGTATTCATATTCAAATTTTCCGAATATCAATCTATACAAAAAATGTGAATTCGAATCGAATCAAGTTTGTTCAACTCATTTACAATCTACACCGTACCTAATGCACCCCTTTTGTGAGCGAAAATACAATTCACATTTCATCATGAACTACATATGGTTTGAATTTTGTGTTATGACATGTTTGAGTAAAACACACGTAAGGAAAAACACACTTAACGAAATTTACTTTTGTTAACATCCACAAATACAATATTTAAAAATCAGAGGAGTTTTTATTCATGTGAGTGTTTTCATGAATTATTCAGTAAAATAAAATATTTTTTCACCTCTTACCTTGCTTTGTTGATTTTTTGGCATAGTTTTTAAAATGTAAGTTTTATTTTTTATTTTTATGACGAAAATTAAGTAAGATAAATTTTAAAATTTTTACTTCATTTGGCATGATGTGATATTTTTTAGATGTATGGAGATACGGAGTACTTCCTCCGTCCCAGAGTATTTGTCCACTTTCATTTTTACACACCATTCAATGCACTTCTTTAATCCATTTTATCTTGTAATTTGTATATTAAAAAATTATATATTAATAATCTATATGTTAAGACAAATCAAACAAGATCACACATGACTATATTTAGGCTTACACATTGAGAGAATTTGATGAGTCAAAGTGCTTAGATGAACAGTTCTAAAACTCCAAAGTGGACAAATATAACGGGACGGAGGAAGCATTTTTTTAACCAAGTGAAAACGTAGTTTTAACAGAAAAACAAATCAAAGGTGCTGGTCGATACTCCGTATTTTTTTTTTAGCAATGCTAGGGGTACACCATTTGTCCCCTACCTCTCTCTCCATCATTCAATTTTATTTTATTTTTATTTATTTAATTTTTTTAGTCTCTTGCCTTTTTATGTGGTTATGGAGGGGGTGAAAGATAAATAGGGTACATCTTTAGTGTACCCCTAGCATTTTTCATTTTTTTTGAAAGCTTGTACGAAAGATTCGTTCACGCATGCCTTGCCATAGACTAGGCGGATATAGGCTTATCCTATCAATCATGAAAAAATCCCTTGCTTTCCCTGTCACACTTAATTGAACTTTTGACTCATTTCAAAAAGGATGAACCACCTCCCAAGGATCCTTGTCGGGGAAAAATAAATACGGAGTAATTCATTGAACAGCGCTCTCGAATTTTTTAAAAAAATTTACGTAAATAGAATTAAAACATAATGACTTTCTCAATATAGGACTATATATTTTTATTTCCTAATATAGGACCTTTAGTCATTATCCCGAAGTCATTATTCAACTAAATGTGCATCATTGCTGGACATTATTCTTTCCACTAGGTCATTGGGCATGTTTGGGAATAGCTTTAACGATTAGCGTTAGCGTTTTCAAAAGGCTATCTACGGACAACGTTTAGCGTTAACGTTTTCAAATTAATCTGCACCGTTAAAATTTTATCCAAAATGCTGACGCTAATCGCTAACGCTATTCCCAAACAGGCCATTATTAAGTCCTATTTAGGGAATAAAAAAGTTTAAGTCCTACATTAGGAAAGTCATTATGTTTTAGTTCTATTTAGTGCAAATTTCACTTTTTTTTAATGCTACTTATAAGGATGAAAAAATGAATAAATTTATTTTCAAACAAGTGTACAAATAAGTAAAATAAAATATTTATAAAGTAGAAAAATATACTCCATATAACAAATGTCAGAACCTAATGCAACTACGAAATGTTATACGGAGTATTTGAAAAGTTTACCTTTATTTGGATAATTATTTTTACTTTTAGACAAGAATTTTCTTTCACACTGGAGCACATAATTTATTTCCCTGGGGGGGGGGGCTCTTTTGATTTACCACAAAAATTCTATGTTTTCACCTCATTTCTCAAACCAGTCAAACGTGGAAAGCAGTACTTGAGTGTTTTTTACAGCTTTAGTGTGAATAAATTCACCTATTTTTTACAGCTTTAGTTTCATGCATCCATATTACACCCTCCTTCCCTTCATAATCTCATTTGCATTTCACTTTCAACAACTTTTGAAATCCCATTTTTAAATTGTTTTATTTATTGTTTTGAAAATAAAAAAATAAAGAATACATATATGCTACCTCCTTGAAGAATGCCTTTTGTTGAGACTAAGAGCATTCCGATCCCAATCTGAGTTTTGAGAGAGTCCGACGAACATTCTTAAGACTTCATTCTCCAGATTTTATCATTGGGGAAGACAGAAAATGAGAAAAGTCTAGAAAAGAGTCTTTAAAGTCCCTTTCTAAAACTCTCTGTTAAATATATCAATTATTTAATATATTTAATATTATATATTATAATTATGGCGGTTACCTTTTATAGTTAGAGTTATTATTATATAATATTACCTTATATAATTAGTCATTAATGTGGAGGATTCTAGAATATATTTCTCCACCTATAAATAAATGTTTTGTATTCTTCTTCTATTCATTCAAGCAATAAAGCATTATTTGTTATTTTTACATGGTATCAGAGCCACCGTTCTTGGTGGCCTAAATTTATCCGTTTTCGCTTTCGGCGGGCGGCACCGCCACTAACAGCCGCCCGCCGGATCACTGTTTTCCTCTTACCCAAACTCTTCCATTATACAAAAAAAAGGATCTCTGTTATAGTCACCGGCGTCTCTAACATCATCCTCTTCTCCTAATCGCCGCAGCTCTGACCGGCGACCCCTACTCCACCAAACTACCGACCTCTCCAGGCGCCAAGATCGCACCTGTTCACTAGAGAGTAACATGAGGCACAGGTTCACTTTGCCTTTGAAAGGGGTGTCCTTGGTGTCATCGGTGTTCTAGGGACTATCAAGATGCCTTATCCCTCTAGAGCCTTTAATTTGGCTCATTGATCAGAAATCCTTCTCCTCCAATCACCCTTCATTCCCTATTTTTTTCGATCTCTCACAACTCATATCATCACCCCAACCTCATTCGTGGGTAGATCTTTGGTCAACATGCATCTCCGGCAGTACCTCATTCCTTGTGTTTCTTCTCTAACTCAGTCGCGCACGACTCCAGCGCGCGTCAACCTTCTCCCTCTTTCGACGTCAGCAGCATGAGTCTGTTCGCAGCGGCTTTTCTCCCGTCCTCATCAGCGCCTTCACATCTCTTTCATGGCAATCTTTCATCTCTTCTTGGCCGGATGCATTCAGTCTACTCTAGCCGAAGATATGTCTCTAGCTTCTGATTACAATTCTGGTCACGATTCAAGTAAAGTTGGTGTTC